CCAGATGCAGCAGGTCCATTCTCCGTGCAGTAAAATATCATACAAATAATAAGCCATCATTTTTTTCTGTCATATTTACAGCAATCCCGGAAACCCATCTCTGTGGGCCCTTCTGTCCAGAGTGGTACCACAATACTACCCTAAAAAGGCAAATGTAAGCATGCGTATATGTACACAAACATTACACACATCCACAGAAGAAGCACAGGATATTTATAGTCACGCACATTTAAGTGAGCAGTCTCATTCATCTTGCCGTAGTGCTGCTGAACGGTTGCAATCTGATGTAATTTGTTCACGATTTTGGCATCTGTGTATCACAGGGTGGTGCAGTGGCTGGCCATGTTGCCTGTCTCTCCAGTATGACCCAAGGAAAGGTAAAAGTGTGACTGTATAATTTTGTTTAAGTTGCATGTCTGTTGTTTTCTCTGTTTTTTGGAGTTTTTTTTTGTTACCTTCCCATTATTTATTCAATCCTAAATGTTGTTCTTTTGTTTAAGCTCGATCATGTTGACCTCATTGTACCATATTTTAGATATGCTGTTAATTCTATACATTTTTACCTGCAGAAAAATGTTTTTTTTACCTAATTATTCTCGCAACAGTACTTGCATAATAAACACAGATGATCTAATTTGTATGACTGCAGAGGGCGTTGTTGTACAGTGGAGTCAATCAGCTGGCTGGCGGGAGAAACTCTGGAGAGGACAAGCACAGGAATGCACTGAAGACCATGCAGAGAGCTGTGCTGCTCTGTCCTGGTAGACACACAAACACACACAGTCTCATTAAAGTCGCTCACATACAAACACTCGCTGCCACTCCTTCCTTTAAAACAGAAAATGTAGATGTCAAGTAAACAGTAGTGTCTGAAAATTCAATTGCAGAAATTCTCAGATTTAGTGGAGTTCTTTTAGAATTACTCGTCCACATAATGATGTCTTATTTTAGCTGTTTGATGGCACAGAGCATTTGTTGACGACCATCCAGATCGAGCTCACCTGTGACATTGCTTTTATCTCACCGAGAACATGCCTGAGTGAAATCCCTCATCTGAGTTATTATTCCGCTCTCTCCTCTAGATGATCCAGCTACGTGGGCCGGTTTAATGGCTGCCTGTCACGCCGAAAACACTTCTTGTTATCTTTCTGGCTCTGCCCCTTGCAGACAAGCACTGGAGCAAATCCTCATGTCAGTTGTTTCTGAGAAAGGTGTGTTCACTGATGTGCTTTTACTTTGTGTCCTGTTTCATCTGTGTGTGTTTGAGTGTGCAGCTAACACCGTTTCTGTTTTCAGTGCGTAGTGTGGAGGAGATAGAACGCCCTCTTGCCCAGTCTCTGGAAGGCTGGGTACTCCAGCAGGCAGTGACGGGTCTCATGCTGGAGGGCCAGCTGGAGCAGGCCGAGGCCCTTTGCACACAGGTAGGGTATGAACACACAGACGCTCAGTTTTAACACACATCTTCACCATTACTCTTGCGTAGAAAGAGTTGAACATGTTGTTTGACACCACTGGAGAAACAATGCCATATAATGAGAAATGATGTAAAGAAGTTTAATTTTAGTTTCTGTCTTCTTCATGTTTGTCCCCTCTTTGTCTCAGGTGCTGACCGTGTCCCCTGAACACCCAGCAGTGATGCTGTCATTGAGACAAGTGCAGTGTCAGCGCCTCCTCATGGCTAGTGGAGGTAATGTCCTCCCAGATGCTGTGCTGGAGCAGCTCAACAACGCTGTGATGATGAACCCCACCAACCTTGGGGCATGGCATGTGAGTTGATACGCCATCATTTAAAATATTGCAGCACTGCTCTGTATCACTGATGAGTTGCTTTCATTTCAAGCTACATTATTTTAATGCTCCCCACATTTTTCACGTGGACGTACAGATGTAACAAAACAGCCAGCTCTAGTAATCTCTATAACATAGCAAAGCTTGAAAGTATCGACTCTGTCAGACTTGGGTGGTGAGTTGTTAGACATTTCACACTGAAAAAGGTTTTTTTTTTTTCTTCCCACCACTCCCATTTTTGTTTGCTTCCACGAGACACTGGACTAATGAAGTCCATTTCTGTGCCTTGTTCCAGACCTCAGATTGCTGCACTTAACATCAAATGGCTGCTAGCAGCAAGGGAGAAACAGACCTGACCATGTTGGGGGAATGTAGCTACAGCCACAGCATTACAGTACAAGTGTAGCGTTAAATTTGTTGTAATATTGCAATACCATAGTCTGTTCTCTGCAAACATATATTAGACACAGTATATAATGAGTTAGCATGCAGTCAAAAATGTTCTACACATATGTAGAAGTATTTGCATTTGTGTGTCTCGATTGTGTTTGTGATTTCTCTATTAACCCTTACACACACCACATACTACTGCATGGAAAACTACCTGTACACTTGTTTTAGTTTTTATAGCCTTATGTAAAACCCCTCTGTTCCTCCTTGCACATTTCCTTTCCTTCTATTGACCTGTCCTGTTTTTAAAAAGTTATCTTATGGCAGCAAATAATTGCCCATGCAGGTAAATCGTTTTTTTGTGCAGATAAAATGATACACTATTGGAGTTCATCGTTGCTGCAAGTTATAAAGTAGAGAGATGGTTTTGTGGATATTTTAATGAAGCCAACAAAACATTGTTCTTAAAAAAAACACGACATTAAAACTGCATTTTACACGAGATTGTTATTTTGTATTAATAGTTTTGCTTTGCTTCTCATGTTTTCTCTCCCACATCTCTCTCTGTAAACCATCATTGCTTGTCTCATCGCTCTCCTACTTTCCTTCATTCAGTGGCTGGCTGAGGTGTATCGCAATCAGGGCCTGCTGGTTCAAGCCGTCATGGCTTACAGACAGAGTCTGCAGCTGGCCTCACAGCTTGGCATGCACAGCTGCCAGGTAGCCAGCCTGCTCCGACTTGCCCTGCTAGCTCTTGGACCCTGTATGGTGAGTTTGTGCATGGGATAAAAATGAATCTAGATCCAAAATATTCCAAAGTGTAAGATGATGAAGTACAGCTGTTATAGCACAACAATATAAAGGTATCATTACTGTGACTACAAATGAGAACATTGTGGACATTACATTATCAAGGGAGAGCAGCACTGGTTTTATTTTGCCCCAGAAGTAATGTTTTAGCAATAAGAGCTAGTATTTTATGACAGAATATCATATTATTACACAAATGCAAAGCAAGAGGCAGCTCCTGTCTACATCCCTGTCAAGTAGGCAGAAGCCAGGTAGAGAAAATGAAAGATGAGTGAATATTTAGCTGCAAATCATAGGAGCAGTGACTGAGGCCAAGTGGAAATACAAACAAGTCTGGCATGTATATGGTTTTTAGTCCATTGTTCACAGGTCAGCAAACTATATATTAGCCCAGCATTGGTAAATACAGATTTTTCTTGTTTGATGTTTTGCAAGCTCTGTGAGCATGCTGTGAACATCATCTCATTTTTATTATTATTTTTATATATTACACTTTTTTTTTATCACAGCCACTGCACCTGTGAAAGTTATGATACATACTGTAGCAGGCAGGGGTTACACACAATGTTAGAAAATAATACAGTGGAAAGTATTACAAGTTTAGTAGATAAATAAAACTTAACTTTTTGTAGGTTTTAAAAAGTTTTATTCTGAACCCTGTGTGATCTCACTTTAAAGGCACGTGTCCCAGGAAATGATTGGCAGGACCTAGTGCTGGAAGCTACAACTGAGGTTCTGAAGCTGGGCTCATCCCCAGTGGCCCTCCTGTTCCAGGCCCTCCTCCAGTATGCGACCAAGATGACTGCTAGGTTAGTGCTTCTCTCAGTGCTGTTTCCACTGCAGGGTGAAGTGCACACATTTGCATGCTTGTTGTAGCCACGTGGGCAAAGATATGCAAATAATTTTATCCCATTGACGTGTAATTTATCATCTAAAGTGATTCAAATCAATCATTGCATTCTTCAGATTTATGCCTCCATCAGTTTTTTCAAGATGTTGGTACTTTTGGAGCTGCAAAGCAATTTTCAAAGCAAAGTTTTACTGTCCTTACATAATGGCATTCTGTCACTAGCTCATAGGCCTGCCAGGACGCTCAATTAGAGTGATACATTCAGCAGAGAGCTGAGGAGAACAAAAATGCCAATCATGACCTGGCTGAGTTCCCTGTGAGATACTCAAGAATCTCCGCTGTGCCAAGCACAATCACATTATTAAAAGCCCCTTTTGTGACAGAAACATGTTTTCCTTTATTGTATGTTTTGGTTTGTATTGATGAAAAACAGACCACAATTATAGGTGCAGGGATTCAACCCAGACCGACAGAAGCACAATGTAATTTCAAATGAAGCATCTCTGCCAGAGAATTTCAGCGACATGACAAATCAGATCAGCAGGCATCCAATTCCATGTTTTTAAGGCAGGCATGGGCAGTCCAATTATATAACATTCGCGTTTTTCCTTCATCCATGTCTGTGTTATGTCGTCTGCAGGGATACAAGACGATTGCTGGAGAGGCTGGTTTACGTCCCCTCTCGAGAATTCCCAGTGACAGTGATGCAGGTGGCCAGCTGGTACCTCCTGAGACACTTGCATGCCAAAAACGACCAAGAACTCATGAATGTGAGCAACACAGCTGCCTCATTGCTACACTGGCACCACACTGAAACATTTTTGTGAATACATTTTCACTTAAGTGCCAATTTCGGACATACACACAATAGCATACACATAAGCAAACAAAAGCTGGTCATATTTGTCTTCTTGCTTTTGCAGCCTTGGTAGTGAAAATATATTTGAATCTTTTTGCAGGTCCTTTTGCAACATGCCAAAATGAACGGAGATCAAAGACTGCTGGACTTTCATTCACTGCTTGCCTCATCTTCATCCTGAATTTTGCAACCGCATTACTGTGCATCTACGACTACATTTTGAAATCATGTAGCTTAGCTGGTTTGTTTACAAAGTTTTCATAACTAATTATAAAATCTTATCAAACATGAGGTTATGGGTCTGATATCATAAATGTGGCTTTATTGGCTTAACGTGATTCTTTGATTTGACATTGTTCAGGAAATCAAATCAGTCCATTACATTGAAATCATCAGTGCGATTACATATTTCAGAAGTTCTAGAATTAGAATAACCATGTCCACCTTCAGGATGAAATAAAGACATTTTGCTCATATAAAGATTGTCTCATCTTGTTTGCACATAACCTTAACACATGTCAGTACTACAGTATAAACTAAAGCATGATAAACTTGCCAAAACTACCTGAACTTATAGAAAACTTTGACAGCATGTCTACTTAGACAGCATATAGACATCTGAAACACATGTTCAACAATTACTGTGTCATGTAGTTTGTGGAAGAACCTTGATCAGGTGTGTCACAGCCATACAGTTTTTCAGGCCCTTACAACCTCTGAAGCATTAACTGGACAGACATGTTTGGCTTGAAGAGGGCAGATGTTCTGCCCACAGCCCCAACATGGCTGACTGCTGTGTGTGGAACCCTCCTGCTTCTTTCGATTGCACAGTGAACACACATCCACAACAGCTGTAACCCCGTTTCCACCACTGAGGCGAATTTTAGCCAAAAGCTGCTGAAGCTCCATCAGTACGTTGTTGGGGGCCTTTGCAATGCCCGCAACCTTCACTCTTTTGGGGTCAAACACACAATCCTCTTCTAGGCCACTGCGCACAGCCACCATGCCACAGTTGGGGGGTACCCAAGCAGTGTCATAGCCCTGTGTGCTCCAAGTGTACTGCATGGGATGGTTGTCTTTGTCAATGCGCTTGACACGGCCAACGCGCACATGCAGCTCAAGGACCACGCGGTCTGCAGAGTTGACGTTCAGTGGATAACGTTCTGCCTTTTTCTTGTCACGACTGACGTACACGCCCTTTCCTAGCATGCCTTTTTGGGACTGCTGAAAGCCGCCAGCGATTATGAGACGAGCGTTGGGAACGCTGGTGCCATGGTACATGGTGTAGACACCTCGATCTTTGGGATCCTGGGAGGCCCCCAGCTCCAGACGGGGGGAGTCATCATCGTAGGTCACCCCCCAGCCACAGAACCGAACTGCCATCCTAATTCAGTAAAAGATGCTGTGAAGACCAGCAGCTCTGTGAGGAATTAAAAACAAAAATGTTTTTATGTTATATCAGATCCAAGAATTATTGGGAGCAAACCACATCAAGAACTACAACTGCAAAAATGATCCCTACAATTAGGGTGAAAAAATGTTTTGACCTCAGTGATACAGATTGTGGATCACAGATGATTGATGTGATGGGACTAACTGCAGTGTTAGTTGCAGAATGTGGTCTGTCTGTTCCTCTTGTGTCTGATTCTCGAGCGTTATACATCTCACTAATACCAGAAAAGCGTTTTGTTGTTGTTGTTGTTGTTGTTTTTTAAGCTGTGCCATATAGTATAATTAAAAATTAAAATGGCAAGTTGAAAGAAGAACATGGTTCAGTGAAGAAGCCATGAATTCTACAAAATAAAATCATAACATTTTAGATTCAAATCATTACATTCTAAAATTCAACATATAACATTCTAAAATTCAAATCAAAACTTTCTAATTATTATCAAAACATTCAAACATTCAAACCAAATCATTCTGAAATTCAAAACATAACTTTTAGAATCAAATCACAACATTCAAAACATTATATTTCCAAAATTTATGTCAACACATTTTAAAATTCAAAACATAACGTTCTAAAATTTTAATCAGAACATTCTTAAATTCAAATCAAAACATTCTAACATTCAAATCATAACATTTAAATCACAACATTCTAAAATGTTAGTAAAAATATTCTACAATTCAAAACATAACATACAGTTTAAAAAAAGACAATTCTGAAATTCAAATCACAACATTCTGAGATTCAGATCATAAAATTCTAAATATAACATTCTGAAATTCAACTCAAAAATTTCTAACTCAAATCAAAACATTACAACATTCAAATCGTAACATTATAAAATTCAAATCACAACATTCTAAAATTAAAAACTTAACATTGTAATTTGAGGCAACCACGAGGTATTTATGCTTCAATAAGGACACTAAGTGAAGGAACCCGTCCAGCTGCGCCCTCTACTGGTAAGTTTAGTCGCCGAACACATTGCTCCTCAGGCCGGAGACAGGCCAGTGAGCTGGGCAGCTGGAATCGCGTATCACCAGGGTCATCAGGTGGACACGTCCTTCACTGATGTTACGTTCAGTGGACCAGAGGCTACCTGGTTCTCTGACACCCTCCTCCACGCCAGCTCCCACCGTCCATATCACCAAACATTCATCTTCAGCTCGCTACCACAGTTTTTCGCTATTTAATGTTACATTACGGTTATTTTGTCAGTACTTACTGAGTATCGTGCTCCAAGCACCCAAACTGGACGTGAATCAGCTTTATCAGCAGAAATCAACCAGTCTTAGGGGAACCCAATGTGAGCTAAATTTCACAAAACCGTAGTTGTCGGCTCTAATCCTCGAGACTAGAAAATCACAGCTTTTAAACTTACTTCCACTGCTCATGTACCGCTCATTATGAATCCAACTTGCTAACTATGCAGTAAATGGCGTACAAGGTGTGTTTTAATTCGAGGTTGTCGAACTTTAAGCCTTACCGTCCGTGAAGTGTCGTTTACTTCTCCGAAGAGCAACAACTTTCAGTTTCTGTTTTCAAGATTTTAAACGGTTTCACCTTTCACTGTCCTTAATAAATAGGACACGCCTCACTGTGACTCATTGATCTAGACGACTTCTCGGCTGGGGAAGCGTGGCCGGTTAGCTCAGTTGGTTAGAGCGTGGTGCTAATAACGCCAAGGTCGCGGGTTCGATCCCCGTACGGGCCATTGTAGCTTTTATCTATTTTTTTTCTCTCGCTCAATTACAATCTGCTGCTCTTATTCTACAAGTTGGTAATTCCAATTGTTAAAAAACAAGCAAGCAAACAAACAAAAAAAACATTTTAAATACATGACCATTCCATTTTTTAAATTTAAGCACCCCCCAATATAGACTTGAATCTAAGCTGCCTTATTATATTGTGGGTCAGCTACATGAATTTCAAAGAAACAACAATTTGGCAAGAACCAGCTCATACAAAGCTGCCAAAGTTCTGGTTTCATTTTGTTGCAAATGTTTTGTAATGGTAAGGTCATTTGTAATTTTGGTAACATGTACCACTAAAGCTCAGTTTCAACTGATACAGAGCCATAAGGTGGCTGCTGCACCAGTCATCGATCCTAAAGTCACTGAGCTCCTGAAGAAATCTACCTTCAACACCTTAAATATATCACATGATATTATTCTTACATTGTGCTTTCTACTACATTAGTATGTGTTTAGTCATGTTCCCTTCCAGAAAACTTGTGCAAGCAAAGCCAAGCGAAACACCCAATCCCCCTCTGTGCTTTCCACATCAATTGGAGTTCACTTATAGTATGCTGGGACAAACTGTTTCAGTTTCCCTTTCTCATGGTCTCTGCAACAGCAGTCTCACATAAAAGGCTGTAAACATTCTGTTACTCTCCTGGCTCTCTGGGATCTAAGGTCATAAACTAGTGGAAACCTAGTTTCCCATCAGCCTGAGCAAATGGTTATTTGATGTTCTGGCCTTTGCTCATATTTTCAGCTGGACCTCAGATTGCAGCCGTCTGGTCTTCCCCTTAGCAGCACACGAATGTGAAATTATTTAGACTGGTCACACTTACAATAAATCAGCTCTAGTTGTGAGTTTTATATGTCAACTTTGACACCAAGCATATTCTGTCATCTATTCGATCACTCGCTGCCTGCTGCTCTACACCGTTTTGAACTGTGAAATTACACAACATAAAATCATTCAGCTATGTTTCTTAATTAGTTTTTCTGATAAACACAGAGCCTAAATGTGGAGCTGTAGAACGCTGGAGATCATGGGTTTGATAATTCCACAGTGACGTTTATTGATTATAGCTCTGTTACATAATATTGTGTTAAGTAGAAAAAAAACACATCACACCAACCGCACAACCGCACACAATCACAGCATGAATAATGATCAGAAAATGTAAAGCTACTGCGACTGTAGAAGAAAGAAATGAACATCTAAGTCGACTTAATGGCTCACTGTGAGCTGGTTCTCATCATAAATAAGATTTTGTAGATCACCTACAGAGATGCCTCCAAAACATGTCCAGCATTTGAACACGCTGCACCAATTACTGTTGAGAATTGACACTTAATTTCAGTTTGTTTTGCCTCCACTCTGCTTCCAGCACATTCGTCTTATCTTTATCTTTTCGAGCCATCTTCTTCATCGATCCCATGTCAGGGTTTGACAGCACAGAAGTGCTTGGACATGAGAATGCAGATGTTTTGTCCACACTTCCAGCACTGTTGCTTGACGTGCGTAGAGCCCTGCTGGGTCTTCCTCTTACACAGGGAGCACACATCTGCAGCACCAACCCCTCCACTCCCAGGACTTTTGGATGTTTTCGCCAGAAGCTGCTGCAGTTCTGTCTGTATTGAAGCACTGGGTGCGTTTGCAATGCCGACCACCTTCACTCTTTTGGGATCAAACACACAATCTTCCTCTAGGCCTAAATTGGGCGGCAACCAGGCTGTGTCATAGCCGTGCGAGTGCCAAGTTAATTGCAAAGGATGACCCCTCTGGTCAATGCATTTGACACGACCAACGCGTACACGAACCTCAAGGACCACACGGTCTGAGGGGTTACAGAGCAGTGGATAGCTATCCGCCTTTTTCTTATCACGACTGACGTACACCCCCTGTCCCAACGTGCCACCTGACGATTGTTTAAAACCATTAGCGATGATAAGTCGTGCGCTGGAAACCCTGGTCCCATGGAACATGGTATAGATGCCCCGGTTTTGAGGCGTCTGTGACGGCCCTAGCATCACACCAGGAAAAGATGCCCCGTCGTCCACCACCTCCCAGCCACAGAACTGCACAGACATCCTGATTTAAGGATGTGGCTGATAGAGGATGTTGTTTAGGCCCCACAACGATCTGCAGCTCTGCAAAAAATGGGAGAAAAATAAAACATGTGGTTATAGCAGAGGTATGACTTTTTCCATAGCAGACTTTAGAAATTTCCAGGTCTTGACCAATATGTTTTTCATTGATTTTTAGACTAGACTGATCATTGGAAGACTGTTATGTGGAACTGACATGTGTTTGCAGTCCAAATTAAAATCTTGTTCTGAATAACACAAATTTCGTCACAAAACTTCATGAAAGTAATAATGTGATAATCTGCAATGTTGATAATCTGTCAACCCCTAAAAATTACAGAATGTAATGGCCTAGATGATAGATTAGACTCTGTCTCAACCTTATATTTACCTGTACTATCACATCACTCTGACTGTGGTCTGTATTTTTTACTTGTGTCTGATTCTCAAGAGTTATGCATTTCAAAAGTCCCAGATCACAAATCTGTAACTATATGACTATTAGTAAAAGCACTGTTTGTTTTATTTTTGTTTTAACAAAAAAGCTGTGCCATAAAGTATGTTTAAAAAACTGATGTTGCAAGCCCAAAGTCCTCTTTGAATTTGAGACAAACACATGTAAGTAGTCTATCACACATTTTAAAAATCAAAAATAAAATAATTTGATTCAAAAGATAACGTTCTCAAATTCAAAACATAATATTCTACAATGTTATCATTTCAATTCTAAAAATTCAAAACATAACATCCTAAAATTCAAGTTACAACATTCTAAAATCCAAAACATAACATCCAAAATGCAAATCATAACATTCTAAAATTCATCACAAAACTTCACTGAAGTAAGATTGTGATGATCATCCAGGTCGATAATCTGTCAACCCCTAGACATTGCAGAATGATGCAAAAAATACCTATGAGTAGCCCAACTCTGAGATTTTCAAACCTTTTCTGTTAATCAGCCCTTTGGAAGAAAAACAAAACAGTAACAACACTAATAACTAAATATAACAGCATCACTGCCACAGTCTTATGTCTTGCTCCTGTCCTGCATGTTTCACATTATGTTGTAAAAATGTAGCATTCATATCTTGCACTGCACTGTCAATTTTTTTTTTTTTTTTACTCTTTACTCTTTTTAAAAAATTTAATCTTCAGTTTTATTTTGCTTCTTTTAATTCCTATTTGCGTATTCATATCACCTTGCTATTTTTTAAAGCCCTGTCAAGGTTTGCAGCAGTCTGAATTGCTTTATTGTAGAGAAGTGCTACACAAATGAGCTTGCCCTGCCCTGTGAGCTTTTTTTGCCTCCTTAGTCTTGCTTAGCCAGCCCATTCTTTAGAACATAAAGGTCTGACTGTACGTGAGTATTTTTCTGTCATAGGAGCAAAAATGCTACTGCATCCCTATGTCCTTTAATTGGATCACCACTTACTGCTTCCTTTCTTAATGACTGTCCTCATGCACCTGCTGGTATTCTGTCTTAATAAATGTAATCACAACTATGATCGCAGCATGATCAGGTTAGTTTTTCAGTCATGAATCACACCAAATTTATATGCATTTCACATTTCTTCTTGTATGTCCCTGCAGTGGCGGAAGTCTTATCTCCAGTGTGTAAACCACCGACGTACACGATAAATTAGATGGACTCTGTATCAACCTAACATAAATCTGTATCACCTTATTACACTGACAGGGCTTGTGTTGGATATTTTTGTTTGAGTCTCCAACAAATGTAGAAGAGTATAACGCTTTGAAAGCTTCTAATGATTTCAGCTTACCGTCGAGGAGGAGTCGTTTCGCCAACAGCTCAGTAAGTTTTACTTTCTATTTGGTAGAGTTCATTTGCAGCTGAGATTACGTCACAACACGTAGGCAGTCACGGCCGGTTAGCTCAGTTGGTTAGAGCGTGGTGCTAATAACGCCAAGGTCGCGGGTTCGATCCCCGTACGGGCCACTTAGTTCCTTTTTTTCTTTAAACTTCATCTGTGACAATGATAGTCCAGCTTCTGTATATCATCATGTGTAGTTCCCATAGACTGTATAGTTCCGCTGACACACCTATAACAAGTTGTTAGAGCAGTCACAAAGCAACATTACCATTTACTGGGACTCCCATTTCTGGACAACTAGTTAATGTGACATTCCTAAACTATAACAATTTCATAAAACAAACTGTAATAACTCTGGGATACTGTAGTCCCAAACGTGAGAAGTTTCAGTTACGGATTTTTTTATTTTTTTTTTTATTAGGACCTGGTTTTATGATTTGGAACTCTGGGGAAACTGAAAATGATCAGGATTTCTCCAGGGTGTGATGACGTCAGACGGGTGTGTTGTGCGGCCGGTTAGCTCAGTTGGTTAGAGCGTGGTGCTAATAACGCCAAGGTCGCGGGTTCGATCCCCGTACGGGCCACTTA